ATATTAAAATACTTAAGAGTCTAGTTATATTCTCTTTTAGTATAGTTAAAAATAGATTTTTATATTTCAGAATTATTATAATTATTGAGATTAATTATCTTAAAGTTTTCGGGTAATATAGTAAGTTATTAAAATTTATTACTAAAAAAGAATACTAATAAATAATAAAAATATTTGTAATAGCTTAAAATAAAATATTTAAATAAAGAGTAAATATAGAATAGGAAATATAATAGACTATACTCTATTTATTACTATTATACTCTCTTTAATATAGAAGTAAAAATATACTTTCTAGTTCTTTGGATAAAGAATATTCAGATCTTTAAACAGTACTCTGAATAGCTGCTAAGAGCAGCGAGACACTCACGACTTGCCTTGGGTAAGTACAGTCATACTAATGCTGTTGTATGTTCATCTTTACTGTCTTTTTTTGATTTGTTTGGTTTAGCGTCCTTGCTGCTCTCTACCTTCAGCCTAGACTGCGGCATATCCTCTCCATTGGATATTGGGTCGCATACTATATCCTTAATAAGGATATCTGCACTAGTAGAATTCTCGCCTAATTATCTATATAAAGTAAGTTATATGGTACCGTACCTGATCACCTGACACCCGCCTCCACCTGACGCCCAATTTCCTATAAAAACCAGAGTTAAAGATAAAGCTCTACAATCATATATATTGTTTACTATTGTATAATTTCTTGGTAGTTTAGTATTTGAACTATATAGAATCTATATAACTATTTTAATAATTCCGAAAATATGTAGATAGATAGATCTGCCTATCTTAATAATTTATACTATATAAAGTCTCTATAATAATAATTTTATTTTAATTATTAATATTCTTTCTAATTTTTGGAGTTAATAGTATAGGGATTTTAGTCTTATCTTTAGTAGCCTGATTTATATTATTTTAAAGCTATAGATTAGCTTTTTTAATAAGCTTTTCTTTTTCTCTTTAATACTGTTTTTAAATATTTATCTACTTATATATCTTCTTATTTAAAGCTTAGATTCTCTTGTATTTTTGTATTAGAAACTACTTTTCTTTCTTTTTCTATTTTTAATAAAGCTTTCTATTTTACTTAATAGTTTTATTAAATTATATAGCTTTATCTTTCTGAGTCTAAAGATTCTGAGTTTTTTGAATTTTATTAGATAAGTAAAAGATTATATTACTATTTTCCAAAGTATATAAATTAAATAGAAGTAGTTTTCTATACTAATATTTCTTCTGCTTATTTTTTAAGACTTTTTCAAGATCTAAATAATACAGCTTAAACAGAATATTCTTGGTAAAAAGAGAGTATATAGTAGAACTAAGCTTTTAAGTCTTTTTATTATAGATATCAGAAACTGTCTACTAAAGAAGTCTTTTAATATATCTCTAATCTTCTATACTTAGGACAGAATTAGATAAATTACTAGATAATAGTCTAGTACTATTCTTTTTAGTAAAATATATTAATATTCTTTCAGAATTCCAAGGATATAAACTAATAGAATTCTATACACTTTTAATATTTTTCTTTAATAAAGTAGTATTCTACGCTGGTTAAAAGAGCTGAAAGAAGTCTTGTTTTATAATATAACTTATTTCTTAATAATTATATAAAAATTGCTTCAATTCAGTACTGTATACTGTAAATAAAAAATTAAAGATATTAATATTCAGCAGCTGTAGTATATATATAGAATAAGATAGATAAATAATTAAAAGAATCTTATTTTTATTACAGAAATTAATAAATTTTATTATTATATAAAATTTATAGTTATCAAGAATTAGAAGTCTCTAATATTTTTAAGTCTTTTTCTTTATTTCTTAATTAAAGATATTGGTAAGCCAGGTATATCTAATATTATTATTTATTTAGCCACTAGAGAATAATATAAAAAAGTATATATAATACTTAGAATTAAAATCCTAAAGCCAGAAATTCTGTATATTACCTGAGATATCTTAATATATAAGACCCGGGGAAAGAAAGCTTCTATTTATAGAGATATAAGTAATTATAGTAATCTATTTTCTATTTCTATTCTGAAGATATTGCTTAAACCCTCTCTACTTAAATTTAAAATAAAAAAAGACTCTTTTGTCTTTTAATAATACTTTAATAAAAAAGTCTTTCTTATTTATATTATATATATTTTTAGACTGTATATTATATTTCTTAAGCTTTTTAGTTATTAACTTAAAGTAAAGTAAGTATTTATATACTGAATCAGCTTATTTATATTGGAAGTTAATCCCAGTTATATAGCAGATAGTAAGCTAATTATTATATATCTTTAAAAATTAAGTTGGCTACTATTTTCCTGGCTTTTTCCCAGTAATTTTCTTGGCGAAGTTTTATAGTATCTCAAGTATAGAAGAAAGATCTTTATTAGTTAGATTATTAATCTATTTTATAAGTATTTTAGTCTACTTATTATTAAGGATTTATTAATTATTATATTACTCTACTTAAGTATATTGGATACTACAATAATATCGAGATAGTATATATCTACTTATACTATACTTTTTAACAGTTTTTATATAATTTATTTTTTCTCCTAGTTTTAAGCTTTTAATCTCAGTTATCACTACCTTAATTGAAGCCATATTAACAGAGTTATGATAATTTGAAAAGTATTGAAAAGTCGGTGTATATCAAAAAATGGGGCGTCAGGTGGGGCCGGGCGTCAGGTGATTAGGTACGGTACTTATACTACTTATATATATATATATATATATCTATCTATCTATCTACCTAGATCTTATATAAATATGTATAAGTTACAAGGCTTGGTATATTTAATATGTTTGATATCTATTGGATAATCTTAAATATCCTGAGAATATTAGATAGTATACTATATCTATAAATCTGAGAATTGAGGGTAGTAATTGACATACTATATCCGCAATCTGCGGAGAGCATTGCGGATATCCATGGACATTGAATTGAGGATTGTTGCCGAAGTCTACTTCAGCCCTCTGCCTGAACATAACCTGAAGCCCGCCTAAAACGCACCCACTGCCCCCCGCCTGCTGACGTGTCCAAAAGGATCGGATTTATGAAAGGCCGCAACCGTCAGCAACACACCAGTCATTTTGATTCTTTGGTACGGAGATCTACTCTGTATTTTGGGCGACGGCGAGGAAAGCGTTACGTTGCCACTTGGCCGTTTTATGTCGTTCCTCGAACTGTTAGCTACTTGACATTGTTTCTCTTCAGCTGAACCGGGGAACTCGGCAGAATTCGATGCGGTCGCAAAATTGTGCAGACGGCTTGCCCCGACAACCTACATCACAGTCATCGTTAGCGACGTTTCCGGGACAGATTGGCAGAGGGCGAAATGTGGCACAGATCGTATGGGTTGTTGCGTGAGCGTGGCTCGGACCATAAGAGGCTGGCAGAATGAGATCGCGATGGATGACACGATCGATGGCAGCATCCTGAGGCCCAGTTTGGGTCACCTGATAGTCTTCGAGCCACTGGCTAAGCTGAGCAAAGCCACGTCTGATGCCAGACATCGCTCTGTGTGTCCCCCTCTCCAATGAATGTTTACCGAGGGTGCTGTGACGCATGCAGCTCGAACGCTGGTGTTACACCACATGACAGAGGCTTACACGAGGCCGCAGGCGAAGCCTTGACATATCCTGTATAGGATGGTCACGCGACCGAGAGTCAGGGGGTCTTCGATATTGACCGGGAACGATACGTGGGCGCAGATCAATCAGCTGTCAACATTGACGGGCTTCCTTCGCGATCTAATTCATTTTCAATACGGTTGGCGACCGAACGAGACGATCATCGCGGCGCACACTGGGCGACCAGCGCAGTCGTGATGGCGGAGCAGAGTGCTACACGCGATCAATCTCACCCTCCTCTGAACATATACAGTGACGTCAGGTTCGGCCTCGATTCTGACTGGCCTCCAGGTCAGCATGGTGAGCTCCTCTGTTACCATGATGATCGTCGAGGTGCCGGATACAGTCGAGAGCAGACATGGGCATGATTTAGGACTCGACATTATGAGGATAGCAATTGAAAGGTGACGGGTACATGTCGGTGCTACGACCTGTCCATACAGATAGGTCACTCAACCAGTCGGGAAACTGAGCCTGCCATCTCTTGCTCAGAGATTGATGCTTCCGACTTGTGTTGATTTTAGCTAGTAGTAGACCAGTGACTCCGTATTATACCCTCATTTTGTTGTGAAATATGTGAACGTCCAACATATACTGGCCCTCGGTGGGATGGGTAAGTAGGTAACGTAGGGGTCTGTTGGTTTGGCTGAGGATATGGTTGAATCATCTGCCTGTAGGCTCCACAGACCATACCTCCAGATGATCAAAGTCTAACGCTGGACATGCGCACAGATGGGTGAGCAGTATTGATTTGCTGTAAGCACTAAAGCAGGAGTAGATAGCTCTCGTTCATTCACAGGTGGCTTGACTGACAGGGATGAAGTTCCTTTTCCCTTGAGAGAAGTTCCCCTCCTCCCTTGGGAAGTTCCCCTTGTCCTTTGGGAAGTTCCCGTTCAAAAGAAGCCCTCTTCCTCCCAAGGAAAGTCCCCTCCCTATAGAGTCTCCATCAGGGAAGTGATACTTAACCCAGCACATGTCAGACAAGAAACGTCAACAACGGAAAGAATGGAGGGACGCACACAGAAAGCAGCAGAAGTAGCTCCATATCCCAGACAGTCTCCAATGGGGCCCATATAGTCTGGATTTTCCGATGTTCGGTAACGCGGGTATTCTTGAACTCTAAAGGCTCATATGTGAGTTGGATAGGGAAGCAAGTTGGGCGAAATTAAGGGAGGATATTATTGTAGAGTTCATGAGAAGCTTATGGATCTTTAATCGCCCGCTGGAGATAAGCGTGTTGGTACCATCGATCTTCTCGACATTGACATTGCATGAGGACGTGATTCTTTTGAAGGATTCTCAGACACTGCACGATCGCCTTGGAGAGAAGTTCAACAAGCCGCTACTTCACCGGGCCTTGTTATCTGGGAATTCACTCTGTGACCGCCGCCTGAGCTCAGATGTTGTATGTTTTCACAACCTTTTCATTTTGATTCGTCGCGGAAGGGGCCCTTGCCGCCCTAACACCCTGACTGAACGCCCCTTCTATTCTCTTCACCCATGGAGCTCACTCGCTATGAACGTTTCCATAACAATTGGCTACATGCCTGCTGAACTTACCAGACTTTTCATGTTCCATTCAGCTGTAATACACTTAGGCGGTAGACCGAATCAGAAAGATATTGACTCCCAAGTCACAGGAATCAGGCGTTCGACGTTTTATTTCCTTTTCTTTTCAGCAATCCAGTTGAACAAAGTCTCGATCACCGAAGGGGCCCCAAGATTTATTGCTAAGTAAGTTCCTATGTCTTGTGGCTTTTGAACCCGATGCACGTAGCTGGTGGCAGTTTAATATGGAACAAAGCTCATGTTAATTATTAGTACAGCCACTCATCAGACATAGAGCAACCTGAGCATCGAAGGCCACTAAATCCAACAAGATGTTGAGAAAGGGAAGGAAAAGTAAGCAGTCATGTCCATTGAGGCACTAGGGTCAACCATTTGATATTGGGGCTTTCTAACTATGGACGGAACCGCAGTGGGTTCTTTCAAGTGATTTACGGTCCAGGCCCAAATACACTAATCAAATTCAGTTTGGAAACTGGAGTCTATGGATTAGCCCGTTGAATTGGTAACCCGAGCTGTTATTGTTGTTTTGAGGTGCGGTGCCCGTGTTCACATTAATCCAGCCGTCACCAGAGTTGTGGAATAAATACGATGATCTCTTTCCAGACAATGACGCGGGTATCGCCATGAGCACACGCAGTCCTTCCTCCAGACGGTCAACCTCCGACCCCACCACCTCTGAAAAAGGCGGGTTCTTCGCCAGCTGAATCATATGCTCGAAGATTGCCTTCATCAGATCCTCTAACCGATCTTCCTTGGCGACCGTCTGGTACTCTTCACTTGCATCGGAACTTCTGATCACCACGTAGAAGATCTCATCTAGTCGGATGGCTTTCCCCTTGCAAACCTCCATAGCAGTACTCAGGTCTTCAAGGGATCCTTTATTCAGCGCGGCAGGACTAAGATGTTTTTTGCAAGACTCGAAAAATTCCTGGGCAGTTGGGATCCATTTGGCTACTTTGCCAAAGACAGAGGGAAGATTTTCCAAGGTGTGAGAACCACTGCTTTCCTGTATTGCTTGGAGGGCGGAGATGGTGCCACTAAATAGGCGTTTGATGTCAACTTCGCTGGTCAACATTATATGCGTCCCCGAATAGACGATTGAGGTGCAACGACTTTAACATAGATGACGAAACGGAGTTGATATTTGAATAATATATAAAACGCCGAGTTCCCTGAACAGAGAGATCGAAAGAGCCGAGTAAATTTACTCTGGAGCTATCAATTTGGGCCGGTCGAGACTCGAAGGACACGTTGATATATACCCAGGCTATTCTTAACTTGTTTAGACGTTATATGAGTCAGCTGAAATAAGCGTGGTGACTGGACTGGCTATTAGCACCTGAGGCCCCCGCTCTTAGGCATAAACCTCTCCGTTTTCAGCTGTCACGGGTGTTATTGTTGAGTGGCCTGTCTTGTTGCCTAACAGCACTCTTTCGCTACACCAGAGACAAACAAAACTGACCCATTCAATCCTGCGACGACTGTCTAACCGCATCACTGTTATACTACTTGCCTAGAAATTTCAAATAGGGAAAACAATTACTGCATGCTTCTGGTTGGAACGCTGTTCCCTGTACGACGATGCGTTTGTCTTAAGGAAAGCAGGTGGTTTTGCAAACATTTCAAAGGGCTGCCCCACCCTTTTAAGGCCCCAGAACTTCTCAGTCCGATTGCATTTCCAGTCAACTGAATACCACAGCAACAGATTTGAGCCTTGGATATTCTAGAATCCGCCAGGTCGGGCACAAATACCCTGTCGTCTGACTAGGCAATCTCCAAACCATTTCAGCTTCGAGCCGCACGATGCACAAATTCAGAGCCCTCTCGGCACGGTGGAAACCAGCCCACGTGGTCTTGCAGTCTGAACCAACATCGGGCAACCTCGTTACTACCGATTCAAGACAGTATACCGAGGCTGGTTTAGATGCACCATCGCTAGATACCTTCTCGACCGCTATATTTCCGGACGGCCTTGAAGTCTTACATGACTGTCCCGATGCGGACTACGATATTTGTTTTGTCCACGGCCTAACCGGAGATCGCCGCACCACCTGGACAGCGGATCACCAGTCGGCTCCCTGGCCGCAAATGCTACTCCCTTCCCACATTAGGCGAGCTCGAATATTGACCTATGGCTATGACGCCTATATTGTCCGAAAATCTGCCGCCTCATCGAATCGGTTGATTGATCACGCTACGAATCTCCTTCATGACTTGACAGCTGACAGAGCTTTCTGCGATGCGTCGTCGCGCCCGCTAATTTTCATCGCCCATAGCCTGGGAGGTCTTGTCTGCAAGAAAGCTATTCTCCTTTCCCGAAATGACCCTGAGCGCCATCTTCGGGGCATTTTCAATTCCACGCGGGGTATCATATTTATGGGGACGCCTCACAAAGGTGCTTGGATGGCGGACTGGGCCAGAATATCCGCTGCAGCTTTAGGGTTGGTGAAGTCGACCAACAAGTCCCTGCTAGCTGTCCTAGGAACAGATAACCAGATGCTTGAGTCTCTGCAGGTTGACTTCTTAGCAATGGTACGTAAATTGCGCGAAGATGGCAGGGCTCTCGAAGTGACTTCCTTTTTCGAAGAGCTACCCCTGCCTGTGGTGGGAAAGGTAGTTTGCAAGGAATCGGCTATTCTAGATGGTTATAGCTCGATCAGTCTACACTCCAATCATAGAGATATGGTAAAGTTCGCTTCGCCGAAAGAGAATGGATACAAGCGATTGCTTGGTGAGATTCGGAGATGGGAATCGCGGATTAAGTATGCCCCACGGCGAGCTAAAAAGCTTTGATCTGGAACAAAATCACTAACAGGTGCTTTTGAAGCAGTTGTGTGGAGCCATCGGCCGCCAGGACGGGTGCAAGTGCAAATGCCAATCTCGCTAGTGAGGTAGATATCCCAGCACCCGAGAGAACTCAGAGCCGGTCATCTGTAAGAGGAAGTGGTTCGAGCTGTCTGTTCCATAACTCCGGTCAAGGCTGGATCAACGCAAACACTGGAACAGGCACTCAGGTTAACAATAACGGGCAAGGAAATCAGTTCAATGGGCCTGTCCACAGCCTTGTAATTCCTCCAGCACATTCAAGCAACTCTCGCTAAAGGGCTAAACGGCTAGCCTTGTGGACACACCGACGTCGAATCTAGCCAGGGTTGCTTAGGTAGGTGTTATTGCTCATGCCACTTCCATGTTCGTCTGCCGCACCAAATTACAGTATATCATCTCTTCCGAGGGAGCTAGAGAAATTCCTTCCAAAACTTCGAACATAGACCACCCATTCCGGGACGATGGAGAGAGCTCAAAAGGTTGACTCTTGTGAGTCCCTGGCTTAGCTTCATCCTGTTTCTCAGGTGACAAGAAAAAGTAAATTGGGTGAGGTGGAGCCATTCTCTAACACCAATCAAACAAAGCGACAGGATTTTGGCCTAGTCTGTAGTCCATAGGACTTGCCCCACACCACACGTTTGTGTCAACGCTCATTCGTATACTCCGTATAAATTTACCACCCAATAACGCAGTTGGGAATCCATGTGTGGAGACGAGGACCTGTGTTACCTATACATTAGCGTGTGATGCATCACCTTGCCAGCGCCATTGACGAGGTTTTCTCATACCATAAATAGGCTGTGCACTGCCCTTGCTTACCCCCATCCGCTCTCTTCACTCTAGACAAGCTACCCATAAAGGAAATAATTACCTGTGATTTGGATGTAATACCGTGGCTTCGGCAGCTCAGACAACATCTGTAGCCGCAATGAGCCACCAAACACAACCACCGTTCACCTTCGACACTCGCGATCAAGGGGTGCAGAACGCCAACGTCGGCGGTGGGCCCCAACACAATAATAACTCTACCGGGAGCCAGTACAACGTCAGGAATTATGGAACAGGTAAAATGAGCCAATAAAAGACATACACTACTCCTACCCTGCTAACTACGGACAGTTGTCTTCTCCGACAAGGCCGTCGACTCGAATGTTCTACCAGCTCAAGGTCAGACTAGTTGTGAAGTACAGAAATCCACTTGCTGATCGTGTCAAAAGACTGCTTCAGGTCCCTGGCCTTTCGGGAAATGGACGGTCGATCTATGAACATTGGTCCGCCCGCCGAGGGCCCAGAAAAGAAACCGCAGCCTATTGCCATGATTCCGTTTGGACGCGATCCGGACTTCGTGGACCCAGGATCCCTTGTAGACCGGGTGCATAAATTAAGCTCTCGACCTTCAGCCAGATTGGCATTAATTGGCTTTGGCGGAGTTGGGTAAGCATGTTCTGCCTCAGAAGTTACAAAATTTTAACAACTAGGAGCAAATCTCAGATCGCCATCGAATACACATACTGGATTCGAGGGCAATCACCTAGAGCTTGGGTTTTCTGGGTTCACGCGAGCGACATTGTGCGATACGAACAAGGCCTCCGTGATATTGCGGAGCATGTTAAAATTCCACGTCGTCGAGATCCAGCTGCCAATATCCTTCAGCTTGTTGGTAACTGGCTCCGGGATCAACAAGAAGAACGATGGATTCTCATCCTTGACAATGTTGACGATGACGAATATCTTCACAAACCAGCCTTCAAAAATTCGAAATCAGCCCGTAATGATGAACGAGCTGAGCCACCAAACAATCTAGGCGGGCTTTCTGAGAAATCGCCCCTTGAATATCTTCCAAGGACTCCGAATGGGTCTATCATAATCACGACTCGCAGCAAACGCATTGCATTGAACCTTGTCAATGAATGCGATATTATAACGGTCAAGCCTTCTGAGAGTCATGCAGTTGCTTTGCTCCAAAGAAAACTTCAGGATAAGGTCGTCGCGGATGAAATGAGCCTGAAAAGCCTTGCTCGGGAACTTGAATGGATAGCACTGGCTATTGTCCAAGCAGCAAATTTCCTTGTAAGGCACTTCCCTCGATGTACAGTGTCACAATATCTCCACATGTTTCGAGACAGCAACGAAGCAAGGTTGAATCTTTTGAGGCGACAAACAAGATTGTTGCATCGTGATGGGAAAGCCGACAATTCCATCATAGTAACCCTGCAAATATCCTTCGAATCAATCCAAAAAGAGAATCCGCAGGCCATGAATCTTCTGTCTTTGATGAGCTTTTTCGACCGACAAGGGATCCCAGATTATCTACTGCAAGCATCATTCCATGATGATAACGTCGAAAGTGACAGTGATATCGATGAAAGCTATACACCGTTTGAACCCGTTTACCAGAGAGAGAAAGCAAATAAACAGGCCTCGGCAGATTCAAATGGGAGCAATGATGGCATGGCTCCATTCACTCTGTCTCAGTTAGAATTCGAGGACAATGTTGCTACGCTCAAAGACCACTCTTTCATTTCCATTGATCCCGAGACACTTACCTTTGGAATGCATGGTCTTGTGCAACTCGCGATCCAGGAGTGGCTCAACACGCAAGGAAGGCTCGAGCATTGGAAAGAGATATTTATCCAGAATCTGTATCTGGAATTTCCGAAATTTACCAATTTCGAAAATATCTCTAGATCTCGAGCCTTGTTCCCCCACGTTCAGTCGGCATTATCCCACGGTCCAGATCCAAATCATCGACTGAGATGGGCCAGACTAGTTCGTCATGCCTCTGATTACGTGCTCTTCTGCGACAAACCGAATGAAGCGAAACGTATGACCGTCATCTCACGGAAGGAAGCCGAGGCTAGTCTCGGATGGGAATTTCCAGAAACAATAATTGCCTCCGCCTTGGAAGTGAAAGCATTGATTAAGTGCGAAGACTACAAAACTGCTGAGGAGCGATGTCTCCAAACGATCGAAGCATGTATTAATTTTCATCTGGAAACAGGGTACAAAGTCTATCTCGCATTTCGCCAGCTTCTCGCCCAGATACATCGCTACCAAGGCTCTCATCGGTGGGCTGAATCTGAATCCGAATATAAAGAGCTATGGAAGACGTGGGAGCGAGATCTTCCGGACGACGAATGGTCCATTACCTCCATCAAGGCAGATCTAGCCAAACTCTATCAGGAGCAAGATCGTCTTGACGAAGCGGAGATACTACTTCAAGAAGTCATAGAATCACACAAGACGATCCAAACAGATAGCCCTCGAGACTTGAATGATTACATCAAGGACTTGGCAAATTTGTACCGAATCCAAGGTCGACATGAAGAAGCGGCTACACTTCTCGCGCAGGTGCTTGTAAGCCAAGAAGGTCAATTTGGACGAGAGGATCCGCGAACACTTTTAAGCATGAGGGCCTTTGCACGCGCATTGGAGACCCAAACTCAGCCCTGGGAAGCGATGTTACTCATGAAAGAAGTCTTCGAAAAGCAGAAAATGGTTCTTGGACTTGACCATGCGGAAACGGCGCACACCGCAGATCTACTGGTTGACTTACTAGTAGAAAATGGCGAGCTAGAAGCCGCCGCATCTCTAGCCGAAAGCTTGATTCGATATCTTGACCCAGATGCTCATTTTGCCCTCGTCTCTTCATATAAACTTGGAGCAATATATTTAAAACAAGGTCAAGGAGAGAAGGCTAGGGATATCACAACCAAAACACTCGAACGAATGAGACAACTTCTCGGACCGGAGCATGATGCTGTGATCGACGCCCAATTCGGTCTGGCAATATGTCACGAAAAGCAAGGCCAGTTTTGTGAGGCCGAGGCTCTCCATCAGCACATGTACCAGGTTCTCCAGCGGAGTCTTGGAAGCGAAGACCCAAAAACACTCACAAGTCTTCAACGCCTTGTAGATCTCTATCTCATGCAAGATGGTCTGGTCAGTGATGAATCACTATGCTCGATGCTATCTCAACTCTCCAGATCATGGGAAGCAGTTCTTGGTAGAGAGGATCCTGAAACTCTTCTGACACTATTCAGACTGTCGCTGGTACATGCTTCGCAGGATAACTGGCTTGGTGCTGCTGATTTACAGCAAGAAATTCTTGAGATCTGCATTCGAAACTCAGGGAATAGTTTTGATTTGCTACCACTTCTGCTGCATGCATTGGTTGGCAGCTGGGAAGATCTCGGCCGTGATGAGGATGCTGCATGCCTGAAAAGACACATCGACTTCATTTCGGACGACATGTCCGCTGGAGAAATTGCGACGATACTGAGTTCCTCGAAAACTTTAGCAGGCGTTTTGGAAAGGTCATCTTCATTTACACAAGCGTCAGTGGGCGTGTATTCAACCTGAATCGCACGTTGAAATGTCCGATCATTATTCTACATTCTATACATGTTGCTATTTGATTGAAATATGAGAAGTAAAGAAATATAAGCTCAAAGAAATTGCGAGGGCTGTTCGCTGAACGAAAGCAAATTGGTCTCTCTTTGAACACTGGCAATTGTCTTATCTCTTCACAGGCATCGTATGATATCATATAATCAAAGATGCTTCTCAGTAATATATCCCCTTAGCTTGAGAACGATGGACCCTGATCATCCAGTACAAAATCTTGCAGATGGACCCACCTGTGGACAATTAGATGGTTCTTGTATAATCCACTAAAGCGATATTAGAAGTTCAAACAAGAGTGGTTATAGCTGTTGTACCTCTCTGGTCGTTATGAATGCTTAATTTTGAAATAGGTACCCGCGACAGAATCCCCGAGACTGTTGCGCAACAGTGGGCTTCAACTGATGCGGACACCTGATTCCATGTGTAATGAACTCCATAAGAGGGTCGAAAGTCTAAAATACCCGATGGATTCATTGCTTTCGGGGGTAGTGAGATAATCACGACGGAAGTAATTTGAGGTCTGTTTAGGTGAATACGTTATATTGTTAAAGACAAAAAGTCACAAAGTGTACCTCGGTAGTCTCCCATGATCCTTGGGAGGACGAAATGCAAGGTTCTTGAGTTATTATACTCGCTGAAATTCACGACAGAGATAAAAATCTGCAGCTTGATCCTCACTCCCGGTCATTTTGTGGGCGAAAGTTGGTTGTTTGTCTGGACTGAGGAGAGCGGGGAGCCTAAAATATGAAAGGACGCCGCTAGACGCTTTAATTTTTCTTTCGTCGCTCTCTATATCGGCTAATCATAATACCTTTCCCTATGCCAAACAGTGTAAATGCTCCTTTGCCTGCTTATTCTACACCTTCGACGGTCTTTAGGTAAAGAATATTCAAGTAGTGAGCCGCCGCCTAAAGCACACCTAAACAAAGCAGCGAGCCGCCCACACCCAAATTTTAAGCGCTAGGTGGCTACCACCATGCTTATTGCTGCGTTCCGGGCGTATCTACGTGAGCAACCCAACAAGACAATAGATGTCTACGACTACTCTGTGGTGGATTCTGCATCAAGAATACGACATATGGCGGTCTAGGAAGTTCTATTGTATTGGGAGCGCCTAGAGCGCGAGCGACATACTCTCAATCTTCTAGATATCGAAAACAGAATCGGAGACTTCTTCCCGACCGAGATAATCTGCTACGACCAAAATAGGGGTCAAAAGGAAAAGTCAGAGATGATTGCATTCTCTAATCTAGCTCTCGTCTGTGCTCAACAAAAGGTTTTCCGTTCAACACATATACGGAAGGACCCCGATAGGGAAGGAGCGGTGTCTGCTACATAATCCAGCATGATTCTTTACAGCAAAATATCTTTTTATCTTGTTCTGTGAAAACATGCTCTTGTATATCCTAATAAGTATAGTAACTCCTTATTATCCGGTAATTATATAGCTCTATATATCTCGAGCATACCTTAATAGTTAAACTTTATTATTTGGTAAAGTAGTCCTCCCCAAGAATATAAAGATATAATATTAGAATACTATCTCTGTGACTGAGAGAATTAGATATATAGAACAGAAAACTCTATAGTATACTATATTATTTAATAGTATATATTATTTTCCAACAGCTAAGGCGACCATGGATTTAAATAAGATAATATTTAGTAGATTAGGCTAGGAAATAAGAGAGAAGTACTAATCGCTGTCCTAGTAGTATATATACGAAGTTACAGAGCTGTTCGGCTTCAAGTAGAGCTAATGCTTGGAGAGATCTTTAGCTAATTAATAGGATATACATGTAACGGTCAGACGCGATAAGAGACAGCAGGGTTACACACCACTAGTATCAGCCGCATCTGCTGCATAGACCGATTATAAGCAGTCTCTATTCTCTCATCATCGCAGGTTAAAGAGAGGCACAGGTAGGCATTTCGACGGCGATGCCGACATTTCACCGCATTGACACAGCATCAGGCCGCTGTAATCGGCCATCTAGCATTCATTGCTCCCATGGAGCTGCTTTATGGTGCATTCAACAGCGCCGTTTGCAAGCCAGTACCTAGAACTCAGTCACTCCCCCACCACTGCCTGCACAATGCCGGATATTAATTCGTAGTTTAGACCACCGCAACTAAATACCACCAAACACGCCCTGTTATAATAACAGGTAGCATGTAGCTCGCGCGACTCCAGAATAAAAGATATTGATCAGTCTAGAAGATGGCAATAAAAACATATTACGTTAGGGAATAGCCCAACATCCGATATCTAAGGAAGCTCTCTAGGCCTATAGATATTATACATTATTCTAATTTTATCCATGGTATGATAGGTTATTACAACCTCGCCGTAGAAGTAGCCCAGCTTCGAAATCTCTACGAAACCTATCAATAAATTCTACTGCCAGAGTGTCTTTACTTCTAAGTTGTCTCTTAATATTTTTAGCCACGAATTCCAGAAAGCCTTTATAGAATCGAATATTAGACGGAGACACAGCTGTTAGAGGCAGAGCAAAGAATCTGCAATCTATTAGTTTCTAATGTCTGGCTACGGCAGGGCGCCTATAACTAACTTATTCAATCTGCGAAGAGTCCAATCGTACTTCTCTTCTATATGTAGGAGAACTGCTTAAGTTAACTCGGAGTTGTTATAGTCATCCAGATTAATTGCCTTATTAAACATTGACACGCCTCGTCCTGCTATATTATCCACGCCTCAGGATGTAGTTATAGCTCAAACGCAATATTATTATGAAGGAAAAAGACCGACTAAACATAGAGAATAAAATCTTTATGCTTACAGGGTGAGAGGGTTAGTGCTACTTCTTAATCTTATTTGCGCAAATGTGCCTTCCGACTAGCTCAGGTATATAGTATTCGGGTGGGTGAACAGGGGCCTGAATTGCCCTGAAGGAAGACTGAATAGGGTGGCAAGCCGCCCACGCAGCGCTTGGTGAGCACCACCATACTTATGCTGTTGTATGTTTTTGTCAATTACGTCCATTGAATTGATTTTGATTTAGTGCTCTCAGTGAAGCCTGTGTCGTAGGATGGGTTATGTAGGGTTGTGTCGTGTGGTGACCGATTTTCCGGAATGATGCGGTCAGTCTAGGATTATAATTGGAGCCAATCACCGAGGGGAATCTCATCGAATAAACAATTTCGGACTAAGTAGCTAACATTGAGCCAAATCATGGTATATCACAAAATAAACAACCGCAATTCAAACGACATGGCGGTAGAAAAAAGAAGTAAGAAGGACTAAGGCCGTTGCAGTACAAGTTATCCTCTATCATAGCCACAAAAGTATCCACCCTACCCTTTACAATTATGGGCAGGGCCCCACGACTGGAAGCTTTGAAGCTTTTCGATGCTATTTCGTCAATACCGGAACTCGCAGCGACAGTCCAGGTTCATTGGATTAGATGACTTGGATAAAAACACGGCCATAGCGGGTCAATGGGAACTGCCCATTGTCCGTCCCTTGAAGAATGATCGAAATAGTTTGGCCAGTTTCCGCATCAGCTGGGATTGTCACGTCTGCTCGGTGGTTGTCGGATTCAGTCACAGTAACGCTGCCCGGGTATGTACCTTCTTCGAAGTATTGCCACCAGGACGTCGTGACGTTGTCGAGGTCTGGATCGCTAACGGCACCGGCCAGCTCCACGGTCGCCCCAGGGTGCGCCTTTACTGTGGTTCCGTTCAGGATCTCAACCGAGGGTGGGTGGTTGGCGTGTTCATAGTTCGGTGTCAATGTCCACTGCATGCGAGCCGCAAAGTCGTTCTGGATGGCCGCGGCCCAGCGATCCGTTGTGTAGTTATCGGTTTCGGCACCGGACCGGTTCTTCTCGCTTCCAGCCATCTCCCACAGGTTCGGTGAGGTGCTATTCTGGATGCTTCGACCACCCCAACCACCGAGATTTGGGTTGCTCGGGTCCTGAATACCGGTCGTTAGTAGCGGGTTGAAAGCCACGTTGTCACCCTCGGACAAAAAGTCGTACGGGCCTAGTGGCTGACAAAAGGTTGACGTTCGCGCCGTAGTTAGATTGCCGAAAATGTCCAGCTGATCACCTGGCATAGACTGGCCGTCGAGCCAGGAACGGTACAGCTTTCCGTACGGTCCTGTTTGAATGTTCGCCTTGATCCAGTCACCGGTGAAGTATACGCGGGATTGAGGCAAGCCATGGACGTTGCCCTGGCCCTTATCACAGTTGTAGGCCCAGGTGCTATATCCGGCCCCCAGCTGCTCGACGCGGACCTGTGGCCAGTGGAGAGCAATATAGTTCGCATATGTCTCGTCTTGAAAACCGCTAGCCAGGATCACAGCTTTACGGGAGACTGCGTCCTTGGTCTGCGTCCACAGCTGCGAGCCCGAGTATTGCTCCTCGATGGACTTTAAAGCACGGGCGATCGTGTTGGTGCCACCCCATGCCTGCAAGTAGAGCGGTCGCGGGTCTTCGTCCAGCAATAAGGAGCGGATGAGGTTAGACCCATCCGTGTCGTGATCCATTTCGCCCTCAAAGTCGATATTACCGATCTTGACCTTGGACAACAGGTCGTCCGGTGTCGGGTAGAACGGATCATGGCAAAGCAAATTTGGGAAAACTTCTGCGTATGCTTGGAGGACTTTATCCTGAATCGTCCGCGTGCCGGTCCAGCGCCATGACCACTGCGGGGAGGTATATTCGCGGTCAGGCAGGAAGAACCTCGTGCCATTGCCATCACCGCTCCAGTGAATGCGGCTAGAGGAGTAGATGATACCCTGGGTATCGAGTTCATTGGTGTAGAGTAGGTATCGGATTAGTGAGGCTAAGTCGTCCTGCTCCAGGTCAGTCGTGACGACTGTGCGCAGCATCGCCGACCTGCTGGTAGCATATGCATGGGCGGCAGTGGCTAAAAAGCCAATCGCGAACAGGCGGCGGACGAAAAACCGCATCTTGCGTAGCTCGATGCCTCGCAATAGCGCAGTCAATATTGCGCCCAGGGTCCAACCGTCCAGTCGCTCATGCAGCAAGTTGACCTTGTTTTATAGTTTGGTTGTCAGACTATGTCGACGGTTTCGAGTTACTATTTTGGGAACCCCACACGAGTGGCACATTTTCTTCCTTGGCTGTGGGGGGTTAGTTCGCCCCATATTGTGGGGAAATCTGGGGAAGGTCGACTATAGTGGAAGTTAGTGCCTCCTGAGGAATCCATCAGAGTGCTTACACCTGCCCCATCGAGACACAATGCCGAGTCCAACTACCGCCAATTTAGAGTCGCCTAGTTAGTGCGTCAACTTCCTAATAATCATACATAAGTTGTTCATGGTTTAATCTCTAACGCACCAGTTGCTTTACATCCAGCCGGGGCAGGCCCTCATTTCAGTGTGTAGAAGATAGAACATTGACTTTAAAATCGAATTTTATATATTTCTTCATTTTTAAAGATATCTCTTTGATATATTATAAAATAAATGTAAGAGCCCCTTGCGGTATATTGTATATGTGATCTGACTGGCGGTACGGCTTCGGGGCGCTGTATGCCAACCAATACAAGATGTATATAGTACGGGGTAGATAGTGAATGTTCAGGATTCTAAGGCCGAATGTATTGGGATCTAAACAGAACGAATCGCTTGACATTATGAATCCTCTGCGCGGTTGGGAACTATATAGGGCATTGGACTGCCACGTGGGTGGGGAAGCCATTGACTCGCACACACGCAGCGTAATTGCTGGCTGAGGCAACCACCCTTACACATTGATACAGATATCTAGATTCTAGAAGGTATTCACGAAAATTAATTCTACATGATTATAACTTGGCTTTATGTTCACCCCAAAGCCTGACTGTTCAGCTAATGATCCCCTAAGTCCTGTATCACTATTTATACAGGTGTTACGCGTGATTTTGAGCAAGTGTTGGTATCACGATATCTGGAAAGGTGTATACAGCTAGCATACAGTACAACAGTATCAGATGTAACAGTGAAGCCATAAAAGCGAACTGACTGAGGTTATTGAAATGTATAAAGCCATTCATCGTCTGGCATTGAATGCATATATTGCTAGAATGTTAATATCTCTCTTTTTAAAGGTGAAGAAGTTATGTGACATTCTCTGAAGGTTGCACGAAATGAATGTCCTGCTCGTTTCCTTCATTTCTTGCTTCACTCCTTCCTCCACATTTATTTTCCTTTTACTCCCTCTCCCCCATGAAGTGCGTTTCCAGTAATGAGATGCTTCATTAGATCCATGACTAGCGCAACTTTACGGGCATCAGATCTTGAATATGCTGTACGGTTGATCACCATGTCCCCATCGCTCACGTCAAGGCCAATAAGAGATGGCGTCTGAGCGCCATCCCTAAGCAGCGCTCTCGATCCCGTTCTACCCGGAGCCCATCGTCGCGTAGGCATTATTCCCAGAGGTTCAGTATCGACGCGAAACTTGACCGTACAGGGCTTGGTACAGGCATTTCTTTTGAAACTATAAATGTACGCAAAGTGCCCGTTGGTCTCGCGGTTGAACTCGTGCCTGTCCGAAAGGTCTCCAGATATTCCGCCCTCGACTTCGCTTGCATTGTTACCTCATTGTTTTCCGGCTTTGTGGGAAGACAATCAGTACAGCAGAGGCTTTGGATACAACAGTGGATTTGTCAGTCAACAAAGGGACGAAGATTGAACTCGGCTCGTGCGGAGTGAGCAACATTCTCAAGATGTAATTCTGTATTTATTGGAGACTTTGAACGCATCAGAAAGTCTAAAAAGACAACCTACCAGCGACTGGTCGAGGGAAGGGAAGAAGAAGACAAAGGGAGAACAAAAGATGGGTCGTCTTGCTGCAACTTACTGACCTATGCCGATCAAACAAAAGGCTTACCTCAATTTAATACTCAAGCTTTCACACAAGCTCTAGTGGATGGAATGCAGGGCAACCAAGCCGATATCATCATCGTCTACTGGGCCGTTACCTCGGGAAAACGGACTGACTTAGGACTTGCTTCTGATAATCGCTCCGCCAACGTCACGCTAACACGCGAACGCGTACGTCTCATCGTCGTTACAGACGGCCAAATAATCGACAACGGCAGACCCAATGGCGGCGAAAGCAATGGGAGGGTGGCCCCGGAGATCTTTGTTCATTGAAAGCACTTGCTGGACGTTCATCTGATTGATCTACACGCGCATGCACTTCCTGCTTTCTTTGAGGTTGTCAAGACCACAAACACCAATTATACAGTGCTCAGAGATGGCTCTGCAGTCGAGGGCTCTTTTGAATGTTCCCCCAACAATCGCTACCCAGAATGTGAAGCCCAGCAATGGCTTTTACAGTCCATTGGGGGCCGGTGAACAAGCATGTGAATTGTCCTTTCACATGGTATAGGAAATGCATGCTGCGGAAATGACAAACCACAAGTAATATACTACTTTTACATAATAGTGCAATTATATGCCTGAAACCATCACACGAATCAGTTAGCTGGCCTCAGACCCTATGCATCAGCTCATTCGTGCCATCTGTGGGGATGAGAGGGACGGGATGCAGTTAACACCGGGCTCAACGGTAAGTGAAGTTCAGTTTGACTGCTCGATATTTGTGTGCCAATATTTATGTGTTCAACAGTCTTTATAAGAGATCCAACTCGCGTCGACGGTAGCCACATAAATTGAGCTGTCTGGAAGCCGGGGCCTGATTCGTCGTGCCTGGAAGCACATGGTCAACCCTATTTTTAGGTCCCACTTCACAGGGATAAAAGCAATTACTTTATCTAAGATACTGACAATAGGTATTAAACTGACAATGCTAAAGTGATATATATAGGATGAAGATATAAGAAAGACTACTAAGGATTAGTAATTAATTAATGGAATTTATCTGGAGTTATATCTGGAGGAGTTATATAACTTCAGGTGTGGTGGGCTTAGCTATATATCTCTGTTCAATGGAACAAGTATGTGCAATTGAAGATATAGTATTAAGGATGGCGGAACAACTTATTCATATTCTATTGCTGAGTCTAGGAATTACATACTCAATATAATATTTACTAGTGAGTTATTATATTTTCTATGTTCATTCAGCCCTTCAGATGGACTCTATATTGTTGAAAAAACATTGCCTGCGTATTTTGAGAAATCTATAATACTCTACAATTATGACTCCAGTACATACGACCATAGGGTGTGGAGAACAGGGCTTCCCGTCCGCTCAGCCGTACTTAAGCCACACGCCGGGAGGTTAGTAGTTGGGTGGGTGACCACCAGCGAATCCCTCCTGTTGTATGTTTTGTATGTTTTGTATGTTTTTGGGTTTTTGCTTCAGATCAATTTTATATAGATTGAATGGGTTTTGGAGATGTGGTTGGAAGTGTTGGTCATCTTCACGACCTCACCCGGCTCACTCGGCTGAACCTCTCTACTTCCCATACATGCGTCCCACGGATCTGTCCCTCTAGGAGGAAATGTAGGCCATTGTTATGTGAACTGCGTATTCATGGGGCATGTCTTGGGATTGCATATCATTTGGGCGCCTTCGCCAAGAACTGACTAGTATGTATTAACACTTCCTACGTGGAACAAGGATACAGAAAAAGCTACTGGCTTAATCCACGAACGTTTCCTCAATCTCAGCTTCTTTTACCAAATTATTATCCCGAAGGTTGCAAATTCGCCAACGATAGGGACGCCTGCGAATTTCTCCTCGGGTTGTAAAAGTAGCTACTAGGCCCTGCACTTAGGCGATATTAAGTTAGAAACAGGCATGTTGTGCGTACTAAGTAAACGTGGGATCTTTTCCCTCGAGTGGAAACAGAAGGATATCACCTGTACTCCGTAGTTGATCGAATATCACAATATTTGTTATAGTAGTAGCTGCGAGCTGAGATTTAAGCTCAGTGTCAACAAGCAAGTTACGACTTGTTTCCCCTCAAAATGCCCCCTTTACGTCCTAGCAAATCCGACTTTCCTGGCTAACCAACAGCCAATCGTAACATGAACAATATCGCCGTGGTCATCGCGCTGGAATACTACTGTCCAACTACCGGGTGCCGGTGCATCTAAGCCTCGTGGACATGCCAGAATCCATATATCGTCCCCAATATATCGCATGAGGTGTGGTGGGCCATAACCAAGATATCCTTCAAATAGTCCATATAACATGCCACCTCCACCAGTACAATGAAAGGTCGAGTCAACTTCTGTACAATAATATGTACCAAGGTAATGGTATTTAGGTGGTTGCTGTCCAGTAGCAACACGATTGGCATGAATGACGCGATTGTCGTCTAAACGGTGGAGCGTAAGGAAATCACCATTGATTGTGCCAATCATATTACTTGACTGGGCTTTGTTTTCTTCAACACAGACCAAAGTATCATCGGAACCCCCATAAGAGACGGTTAAATGGCCCTGACGACCGTGCCCAATCTCAACAGCTAACTGGGCCTCTGCATCGTAAAAAGTGCCAACCCAATTCGGGGAGGGACTGACAGGGCTAAGTCTAGGAGCGTGACCCTTATATATGTCAAAAATATCTTTCATAATATCATTTGCCGCCTCTTCCGCATCAGCCTGGTGATTGAGCATAACCACAATCGCCAGTTTCTCTGATGGAGCCTGGATTCTATGAAGACGGAATCCACGAAGAGCACCACCATGGCCGATCGTAGCCACGTCTCTGACAATATCATGCTTCAGGCCGTATCCATATCGTGCAACTGTGCCATCCTTGAATGACTGTTGTTGCGCGATCACACGATACACACTTTGTTCGTCGTCCCAGCTGGTGTACAAATAATGCTCATATGCAATCATATCCTTGAGGGAAGCCACAACCCCTGCATCACCGGACCACTGCATGCGATTGATAGCTGGGATGAAGCCAGAGGACTCAGTTCCTTCATACCCGACACAAGGTGGAGGGAGATTCGCGTTGTCGGCGCACAATCGCGCAGTTTTCATCTGAGCCGGCAAGAAGAGCCTTTCAGCGAGTAGGTCGCCTAGGGTTTGCCCACTCACATCTTCGATGATTCGGGCAAGGACATGGAAGTTCAAGTTACAATAGGCATACTGTGTCCCGGGTTCAAAATGCAGAGACCTTGTCCGCTCGAGTGCCTTCCTGGCGTCTTCTTCAAGTCGAAATTCACCATCGGGATGGGCACCCCAGAACATGGACATAGCCCAGTAATCTCGTATCCCAGACTGGTTGTTGCATAGATGCTCTAATTTCAGTCCGGTGTTTGCAGTGAGGTCGGGATGGAGCGTTTGATCCAGAGCGTCCGCAAACTGCCGAGACACATTGCCCCGCTTCAGCATCTCTGGGGTGGGGTTGCGCTCCAGATCTTTCATGATCAAGCACACCATTTGTTTTGTGATCGAGCATATTGGCATCAACGTTGATGGGGTTATGGGTATCAGGCTTTGCATGTCGGCAAAGCCCCAAACGTGCTCGCCGACGAGTTTGCCATCCTTCAGTACAGCAAGCGCACCGCCCGGTCCTCGATAGCGAGATGGTATGTTCTGGAGGATAGCCTGAATGGTTGGATGCACTAGGGTCATGTTTTCCTTAAAGACCTCCATATCATATCACAATGGGACTAGATTACGTACTGGTGTAAATGGGACGGGTGTTCTGTAGTTGTGTAGTGGACAATCAATGCGGTGGTTCCGTATTCCCTAACAAGGTCCAGCTGCGGAGGGAAAGGATTTAAATGCTTGATGTGTATTAGACTTTTGGCACTAACCCGTAATGGTGCCCGAAATGAGCCAGACATCCTGGTCAATATCAAAGCCAACTTCGATCTACTAACCTGGTTGGTGCCTCAGCGCGACCTGCACCATATTAAGCGGACATAAATACCAAGTAAACTTGGACATGTCGGCCTCTTAAACTGTAGATGTATATACCTTGCTAGTGAAGACATTGTTGCCACATTCGACAAGAGTACTAGACGGGCAAGACAGCCGTTTAATCGCACGGCCGAGTCTCTCTATCTCCACGTTCCTCTCTTGTTGATCTGGACTCATTCCTGCGTATTTGTTCATACGTGCTGCAGCAGCCGTCAGCATTTTAGTGTGACATTTAGAGCCAGTGAGTGTGATTAAGCAATTGAAGATCAGCCTTACCAATAGCGTCGACATAATGACCGTATCTACCCCCTATTAGCGGCTCACACTTTTGGTCTCTCCCGATAATCACGAAGACATTTCTTGAAAATAGCACTCTCACGCTCATGTTATCCTAGTCACTTCCAGATCGCACTCATCTGCACCCTGCCACTGCAAGCTAATGTGGTCATCGCACTCTTCGATCACCCATGGGAAGATGCCGAGTATGCCAGGCGATATAAACCTCTACACAACCGGTGTGATAGGCATCCAAAATGTCGTTTTGGCGTATATTCTGTATATTGGGAAGTTCAGTACAGCAGCTGTGGCGGCTTGTCTAAGGCCAAGCTTTTCTAATATCAAAATAGCTTTGGTGTTCGGGATTTGTGACGGCATACCTTCTGGTCCGAAGCATAAGAAGGAGATTTACGTGGGCGACGTCATCGCCAGTGAGTTGCTAATGGAATATGACCTCCGAAGGCAATTTGAACCGGAACCCCTTGAGGGCGAGCGTGGTACGGGGCAGAGCATCGTCGTGAGCGACTTCAGGAGGAGATAAGTAAATTCTTGCGCGGTACTCAGGAAAGGTTTGGCGAAGGAAAGTATGCGTATCCAGGACACTGATTGTATGCTGAGTAGACATGTTCTTTTCCAGGTTTATGTAGGCGACTCAACCGCCAAGAGACAAATGCTCGCGCTTTCAGAGCTTAACGACGAGAACCATGAGAATGAAAGTCCCAAGCACTGAAACCTGAGCAACCAGGCCGACCATGTCATGTTCGCGCCTGAGTTTATACTGAAAAGCTCGCTTAACGTTCCAAATTGGTCGGCTGGGACGATAGAAGAGCTGAGGTCGCCCGTGACAAATGGACAGCGGAGGCATGTTACTAAGAGATGAAACAGCTCGTCAGCTCGGATATTGTGTACGTTGTGGCCTAGGATCATACACACCGAGGCGGTAGTTGTATGGGCACAGGGAGGATGAATGTAGTAGTATACAGAAGGGACTGCGTTCTCCGGTATTGTAGTGGATAAAGCATCTTGCTCCGAAGACGGCAGGATCAACTGATGATCTATAGGGTTAGTGAATCCGGTTACGGTTGTGCTTGTATGTAATATTTATCTTTGCGGTGTACTCACATAGTACCCAGGTGGAATATAGGATTTCGCCTATGTCTGATTCAACCTCTAACTGTCCAATGGTGTGGTCATTGCCTAAATTGATGCCCGCGAGGAGAATTGCTGGAGTGCATGATAAGGGTATGTATGTTCAGAGGTTGACTCCATGACTTCTCTTGACATCGGCCATGGCAAGCGATGCTCCTTGCATTCTTGACAGATTCCATGTGGTTTCTATAGGTGGTGACCTTTACTGCTATTCGCAAAAGGCCGGATTTGAGGCCAACGAGCACTGGGCATGCATATTCCAAGAAACATGACGTGCATTTCAAAGTAGGTAGCAGGCTAGAGAGAGGTAATCGATGGCATAGAGCTGTGATAGATATTGGTACTGCTTCGTGATACGCCAGGGTACCATTTGTTGGAGTGCGAATGAGTGTATTCAGTTTCCACTCATTTCGGCAGTGGAAGATGTTGGCTATTGTTGTCACACCACTCGAGAATGCTTTCAGTGAGGCCTTGAAGAGATACTTTTAGCGTGCAAAGCGTGGAGTATTGCTGGTTATTGGTCAACTAACGGGAGAACTAAGAAAATATATTGGTTGAGCTGCTGTCCTATCCAAAGCAGAGGGTGTAATCCCGAGCTCAACAGCGCTGTGTTGCAACCATCGAGGCTGTGAAATATATTTTAAAGTCTTGCTTAAGATATTAGTCCGAGAGCTAATATTCTAGGCCGTTTGGACTTGTCCAGCAGATGCCGGCGAGGTTCGAAGGGCACCACAGTTATTCTGACGACTTAATCGGTTATCATATCACAGGAATAACAAACAGAATATTTCACCGACACTGGAGTGGGAAATACAAAAGACGCAAGGATTAGCAAGTCCCCCAACATGGTATCCAGAATCAGCTAAATACCGATCTACTTGCTCTCAGAAATCATGGATATCATATCGTCGTTGTAAAGGGTATAAGTTGCTAGTTCCGTAAGTTGCTGCCATGATGCCATCCTTTAGCTGCTCCCAAAGAGGCCGGACTCCCAACTGGCTGGATATTACCTCTGCCTCCTCTACAAGTGATGGTGAATCCAGTCAATGACCTCCGATAGTGATGGATCTTCTTCAGTCCAGTATCCTGCCCGCGTGTCCGCGGTCCGCAGATCGTCCACGACGTACTGATCCGTCACTCGTGCCATTTCCTATTGCAATTCCAGTCAATATAGGGTTTACTATTCGAAGGTACATGACACATCTCACCTGTCGGAACGTATTGGCCACGGCGTCAAGAGAAGCTGTCTGCTCTATCCCTGGCCGTCCTTCCTGTAGGATATTTTGCCGGGCGAGAGCGCATCTTGTGGCGACTGCCACCCGGAGGTAGATGCGGTGCGCTTGAAATCGACGGGCACTTGCGTCGAGGATGGTCCTGTAGATAGTCAGGATACACCAACCCAATTCACATACGCCCTATTTTCCGTACCTCTTCAGTTCGGCCTTTTCCGTCTCCGTGTTGGACTGGGTAGATTCCACGCTGGGGTTGTAGTTGGCGGCTAACAGTGCCTGTGCAGCAGCCAGGCCTTCCCTAATCTCTTTGCACGTTTCCTCGTGGCCATCTTCCGTTGGGGTCTGCACACTGTGCCGAGCGATATGCACAAGGAGGGTTCGGTAGTCGTTGATGATCTCGGCTACCCGCAAGGCACGCGCCGGGTTGACTTGTACAGGGTCAATATTCTACCGACGACTGGAAAATCCCGAAAGGGTGACGAAAGGCGATACTCACGTCTATCAACCATGATAATGTTTACTAATCACTGGATTGTTAGGGGCTAACGGTCGTGGTCAAGAACGAGAGGGGTTCGTATCAAACATAAAGGGATAGAGCAATAGAGAGCAACGATCAGGTCAGTTCGCCAACTAGGAACTCAATGTGTCTCTTAGTGATTCGAGAGTCTACTTGGTCGATGGGAGTATCATCTTCGAGGGTCTGATATTCTGTTTAGGTTCGACCTAGGGTATTTATGACAAGCGTTAGCGACGGGCCCGGTGATAATGAAATTGCTGCACGACCATCATCATAATTTTCGGTCATGATTGACTGAATTTACCCCCGCCGATCCAAAAATGCCAGCGAGCCACCACCAAGAACTGCGGTTCACTAGAGGCTAACATGCTAGACTGGTGACAGGACACATAACCCCATAGACATCTGTCTACATTGTACAAGCACCTTGGGTAACCTGCACCCAAGTAACGAAAAGGATAACGTCTAAGCGGGGCTAAGCAGTCGAGCCATAGTGGGATTGATGCTGATAGGCCTAAATATGCGTAAGGCCGTGACAGATACACACGGTGGCCCACGTGAACCGACTGGCATCGGAGGAAATCGACAACGCAGAGGCTTTGAATGCACGGGGCACCAAACCTAAACTGAAAATCCAAGACCAGTCGGAGATGCAGAGGTAATACATCGTTGCATCTCCCAGCATACCATTCCGACGACGGTACTCTAAAGGTCAAAAAAGCGAATTTTGGTTTTGTGACTTCGGAAGCTAATTCCACACCCAGTGGGGCAGTCAGAAGAATTTAATTCTGGTTCCGGAATTCAAATTTGAACGCGAGGGCACGGCGAGGCCGAAGAGATGGGAAATCATCCGCCCTCGCTTAATACCCCTCTTAGATATCCATAGTGTGATAATCTAGGAAATTGTATGAGAAGCGGCCACCGCTGGTAGCTTGCTATGTAGCCATCGTCGGGTTATAAGCTTGCGATGCATAGAACGAGCAGAATAAGAAGAGCGGCGAGAAGATGGAATGAATGACATAGCTCCAGCTCAGCCACCAGGAAGCTAGATGACAAGCGAGGTAATATACCTGATTTACCTTTCCTTTCTTGGGAGCTATCGCAACGACCAATTTGCACTTGATATACATTCGGTGGATGCTAGGGAAATGGTGCCTCGGCTACGTAAATTTGTCTAATGCTAAATGTCGTATCAACACATAGCTGAAGAGTCATCTGCACAAGGCAAGCTTTTTTTTTTTCCGAAGTCGGATAGTGGGTTTCCTATATATATGAGGCTACCATATGGCATGGCATTCAAAATTGTATGTGTAGGTATATGCAGCTTGGATAATCCGGAATCCACAAATGGCAAAGCATTAACACCATATTTCCCGCCCACATCCGATATCCAATGTCCTAAAATCTGATTTAAGGCTTGACGAAGAAGCTATTCGGTATCCATTGCAAGGCAATAGAATATGCTGGTGAGATAAAACCCCTCCGATATAACAAAACCAATGTTAGAGTATCAATCTAATGTGCGTTCGAAGTGGGATCTATTTTACTCTGTGCTGGGCGACGCACTGCTTTGCGCGAGGAAGGGAGAGCCGCGCTTAACCTAACAGGGCGAGTAACTTACAAGACCCCTTCTGAAATTGTTGTGAGGTGGGACCCGACCTTTCCAGCTCTGCCAGCCGACTCTCCAAGTATGTGCATTCCTCTGTTATATTTGTTGATCAATCTTGACTGCAGCATATACGCATTGCGACCTTCTTCTGGAAGTTCGCATTTTGTAGGGGTGCCCCGTAGACAGCACGGGGTACAGGGCATCAGATGATCACACTGTAGCAGTATGCCAATTAGCCTTCCCTCCCTTTTACGTATACTGTGCGGAATCCTGATAGCTATCCGACTGGAAGAAAAGGGCACGTAGGTAGGTACAAAGCTTACCTTCACTCTACATCTACAACACGAAAGGCAGGAGAAGATGGGTCGTGCCCTGCTCGCTTTAGGCTCTCAGAAGAGGAAGAATCCGAGTTTGGATCCATGCAAATTACAACGCAAGAGCGGGCCTGTCAAGATGTATCGTCACAATGGGATCAGCAACTAAGAGGATAATATACAATGGTGAGTACATATATGTCAATGGTTCTTCAGTCACCGCTTCAGGCACATTTAAGAGAAGGGTGTGGATGTATAGCCTACGTGCAACCCCAGACATTAGATTGCTATGTAAATTGACAAGCCTTCTGTAGCCCCTTCCTGGTGGCAATTTCATGGGTATCCAACATGAAAGTCGCCAGGATCCCTGCCGCTGCCAACCCCCCGCCCACAGTGGTATCATCGAACGGGCTCCCTCGATCTTAACGGCACCCTATGGCCCACATCTGACTTTCTTCTTTTGCCTATTCCTACTAGTCATCTGCATGAAAGTCAGTGCTTGGTCTGCTCCAATTTCAGCAGTTTCTCGCAGATAGTCCTGGGCGTGGGAATTGCGCCCTTTTTCGAGTACTCAACTCTGCGTTCACTTGGGCTTGAATACCTGAGCACCGCAAAAGCAGTCTAAAATCTAATCTACGGTATTGCACATACGCATATGTAAATTAAAACAAGGTGTGATGACCATAGGGGTATCCTGTACAAACTGATACTAAGCAGGCTCTTGGCGGCTTGACCGCTATAAGAATGGCTTTCCCGGTGGGTACGGGCGTGATCCTCGAGATGGGATGCAAATACAGGCGATCTGCAGTGCTGTGCACATTCTGGATAGCCGGGTGTACATTCACTGTCTAGGTTGTGAGTTATATGACGTGGGGTTGAAAGTTGTTGGTAGGAAGATGTAGATGGTTGCCGCCGCGCTGTTGTCCCGAGAAATGAACTGTCAAATGGTTTGACGGGATAAGGAAATTGGGTCATGAACATCGGCGCGTTGTTCAAACATACAAACAGACGACAACAGCATTACGAATCTAGAGGATATACCTGGCTTCATTGCTACTCAGTCAAAGACATCAAAAGTTATAACATGGGACACGCGACATTAAACAGAACGCATAAAGGAACACCAGGGGATCTCCGATATCTTAATAAGCTGAATTAACCAACACCATATTCGGTACCTGCAGTGAATCGAACCATTATAGGAAGGAGTCGGGATTGCTATGTATAGCAGAGAAGTCTAGGTGGAACAAGTCTCCAACGGGGCCCTCCATGGGGCACTTGCCGATCAATCAGCCTCGATCGGACCCATGTTTGTTGAGGTTTTCCTCCCCCATAGTCATTCGCCACAGAGGTGTCTCTCTCTCTCTCTTTTTTTTTTTTTTTTTTTTTTTTTTTTTTTTTTTTTTCCCCCAATGGCCGAGCAAGCGGCCACGTGGCAATACGAGGTCACTGCATATTCTTTTAACGTTGCCTAGGATCGTCCCAATTTCCATCACCTCGGGAATACCGTTGGAGGAAGTTATATTTCGATATAACTTAACGGAGTACATGCTGCCGCAGCTGCCGCAGATGCATTATGCCAAACTCAATCCACAAAAAACTTTATATGTTGAAGTTCTGGGCTTAGCCAGGCGCCACTACTCTGTACATTACACAACTATCATATTCTGTGCCCTAGATCCTAACTTTGTCTCGGTGGGCGGTGCTCTCTTTTTTCGGTAGTATCCACTTCACGCAGTCTATTGGTCACCGGTGTAATACACACCGTTTTACCATCGATGGAACAGTAGCTTAAGATATTATATATTAGGCTAAAGCGATCTGAAGCCTGGCTGAATAAGGGTCCTGAATCACGCTCTGTTACTAGTTGCATGCAGGTCCAAATCGGCGGTCTTTCGTGGATGGATATATTTTCGGCTGTAGGGTAAACTGTAAGACAGAGCGGAGCATTCGGGAAAGAGATTATAGGAGTACGACCGCCAGCCAATGACAGTGTCAAACTGATCCAGAAAGCGGCTGGTTCCAGTACTGGAATCCACTTCAATGCGTCGGCTAGTCGGCCAGACAGCAACCGAAGGCCTTTTGAAACCCCACAGTGCCTTCCTCTTTACGCAATGGAGCCGTCTTCGATCCTTCTCTCTGCATATCAGATAAACTGTTGGTATCCATTCTGCGCGGACCAATCTTACTGCTACATGGAGAACACTTTCCAATCGCTTACAGTGTATTATGTGGCCTGAAGGGGAAATGGAATGTCGCATAATCAATGCAGCAATTTTACCACCAACCCTGGTCAGAAGACGCACTTGGGACACGATAGGGGAAAATTTGAGACCCACATAGATAAATCTCTAATGTACCAGCAAACCAGAGAGTACAATTGTGCGTACGAACAATATTCATGCCAACAACAGACCTTTCAGTTACAGTGTTATGTCGACGTGTTAGATTTTCGTGATCGCGCAAGATCCGGCGTTTGAGTGAAAGCTGCTTCCAACAATCATGTATATTCATAAGACGGGGGCTGAAGACTGCCCCTGATGATAGAGTATAGTATATAGCCGCGAGATCTCTTCGGATAGCATGAACTGCAGTCGAATCATATCATCAATATCTCCCAGAGGGGATCGACGACCAGGGTCATTCTGATATATAGAGGCAAATAGCTTTCCGGTCAGCACCGTGGCGCATTGGCTCAGTTCCGTGATCTATAGGAATCAGCCCAATGTCACAAAGCACACCGTGAACGTTTTAGACGTACTCGATCAAATAACAAAGAGATATCTGCATTTGGCTGAAGCGAGGTGGTGGGCTTCTAGGTAAGAATGTTAGCTACTCATCCCATCTAGCATAAGCACCGGCACTGAAGCAGGCTAAGTGAGCAAACCATTGTCATTTTAAGTCACTCATGCGTATGTTTCTGTATTCTCGGTTTTGGGGTGTCTCTCAAGTCCTGATTCTTTTATCTATTATTTTATCGCTGTGTGGGACGCCCGGTCAAACCTAAATAATGAAAAACCGGGGCTTTGGACAAGGTGTAATTTGTGGTTCGATCTAATGAGGGAACTG